AGAAAAGCTATGGTTGAGATAAGAGCAAGTTCAGTTCGTTCTCTTATGATCATGACATCTCTACATTTAATAAACAACACATATCTACATCTTAAGGTATAAATGAATAACAAAAATACAACAACAACAACAACAAGCCTTTATGTCACCAAATGGGGTCAGCTACAAGAATCCTTTTTCTCCATTGTGCCATGTTAAAAGTGAATTTCTCATTGAAAACTAATATATAAAGGTCATTTCTAATATATTCTAATCAAATCTTTTTAGGTCTACCTCTACCTTTCTTAACATAAGTCAAATCTAAAACATCCACTTTTCTAACCCTGACATCGTAAGGCCGCTTATTTATGTGACCTAATCATCTAAGATGACTCTCTCTAATCTTATCTTCCATTGGAGCTACTCCAATCTTTTCATGTATATGCTCATTTCGTATCCTTTCTCTAAGAGTATAGCCACTCATCCACCTGAGCATCCTCATCTCTGCAACAATTTATTTAATATTATGCTTCTCTGTTAATGACCAATATTATGCACCATAAAGCACTGCAGATCTAACCACCATCTTACATAATTATGCCTTAGGTTTGAGGGAGACTTTTCTATCACACAACAAGCCTGATGCATTCCTCCAGTTCAAACATCCAACTTGATTTCTACTAATAATAACTCTATCTATTTCACCATCACTATGAACAATAGACCCAAGATATCTAAAATGTGTACTCTTATTAATGACTTGATCATCCAAAGTAACAATCCCCCACAAGAACTATTATTACTAAAATTACACTATGTATATTCAATATTAGATCAACTCAAACAAAAGCTTTTAGACTCTAAGGTTGACCCCATAATTCAAGTTTACCTTCAAGACCCTCTCTAGTATTATTAACAAGAAGAATATCATTAAAAAAAAAAAGCATACAACAAGGTAAAACCTCTTGCAAATATCTAGTGAGAACATCCATGATTAAAGCAAAAAGATATGGGCTTAAGACTGATCCTTGATGTAATTCAACTGAAATAGGAAAATATTAAAAAAAAAAACTAAAATAGGAAAATACTTGGTTAAACCACTTTGTGTCTAAATAGAAGTAATAGCTCATGCATATATATCCTTAATGACTTGAATATAAGCATTATTAACCCCATTTTTTTTCTAGAGCTCTCCATAGCAATTCTTTTGGAACTTTATCAAATGCTTATCTAAATCAATAAATATTACGCGTAGATCCTCCTTATTCTCTCTATACAATTATTTCAATCTGATCACACATCATAGATTTTTATATACAAATTGTTGCAATTTAGGCTTCCAAGTTTATGGTTTTGATCATAACAAACATTACTAATTGCATTTTTGTGTCTCATAGCATTTAGGGTAGATTATATTTTCACAATAATGAATTTGAATCATAAATTTCAAAATCTATCACTTCAAAGATTTAGAAAAATAATTACAACACTTAAAGAACATATAATCAAACCATGATTAATCCCATTAAAAAATAATATATTATAATTTTATAAATTTTTTTTGAGATATTTAAGTAAATTAAGGCAAATTCACAGACATCGCATACACAAGACTTGAACCCAAAACCTCTTAATTGATAGCCTAGGCTCTCAACCAACATTCCAAGATGAGCTGTGATAAAATCAAAGTATGCTCTAAACATTGAGAAATAATTGGCTTAAAGTTTAATTACTTTCATAAAAAAAAACATGCTATGATGCAACATCATAAAAAAACAATACACCAATAATTGCTTGAGAAAAAGTCAATAAAGATAAAGCATCCAAATAATTTTAAAATTAAAGCAAAGGCTAAGACTTTATTTGGGACAAATTTTTTTACTGATCTTAAATCAATTTTTTAATGCAAAATTTAAGTTTTTTTGTACTAAAAAACTTCCTTAAGAAAAAATAAGAAAGCATGCATAATTGACTAACAATATAATACATGAAATTGTAGGTTGATGACCAAAACTTTTAACTTCATGAACAAGGTTGATGCCCGAAATCCATTTTTACACTTCTAAATCAAAATTTTCATTTAAAACAAGTTTTTTAGTCAAACGGCAACAACTACTTCCTGCTGGAGAAAACTATTAATAAATTTAAAGTATGTTATCAGTCAAAATCAGCGGAAGAACTATAGTAAAAAAGCTTTTACAAAGGAAGATATTTTCAAGTATATATATATATATATATATATCTTCATGCATCTCTTTTAAAGTTTAGTGCAATTTATTTATTTTTGCATTATATTTTAGCATTATATTTTTGCATTATATTCTTTTAAAGCTTTTCCAACTATGAGAATGAACTCTTCATTGGATCAACTCTATTGTCTAGGATAGCCCATCAATACTTCTTGTGAACAATACTTCATGCCAATAAAACTTCAATTTGATCTTTATGTTTGATGAAAAGGATGGAACATAAAAAGCAACAACAATGCTAAAGTATTTACTTTTTGACTAAGATTACGTCAAGAAGACTCCACATTGATTTCCATACTCAGCAAACAAAAGGAGCTTTTAAAGGGGTATTTGAACAAATACCTAGAGTGTAGTTTGCTGAATTGAAGATTTTATTAGTGGCAGTATCTGATGTAGGTACACACCTACAATCAAGATCAAAACTGTGATAGACCAAATTCTTAACTATCAAGATATTATCCGCTTTGGCCTAAGAGCCTCATAATTTTGTCATGTTGGTGTAACTTCCTAATATGTCACCCATCCCAAAATTGCTCTAGGATGAGCACGCTTAACTATAGAGTTTTCTTCTGAAAATTTCAGCCATTATACCAAAAGGTGCCATGATATTTAAAAGTTTAGCCTCTTTTACTTAATGGGGTTCATAAGAACAAACAATAGAATCATTTAATTCCCTACTTTCATTTGCAATTTTAGCTACATATTTTCCCAGAATGGCTTCATTACACATAGTTGGTCCGTCTTTGGCTAGCGAAACCATCGAAGAAAGCGTTCGATCGTTCCCTAAGTCAAAATTCCACAACTCTAGAGAATTTGATGCATGGGCCATGTAGAAATCAGATCTGCATTAGCGAGTATTCTCAATTGTTATAGGTCGAGTACATATCAAAAGGGGCCCATTCTCAATCCTTAGGTCAAGGCAACCTGGGTGACTACAAGCTCTAGGCCTTTACCTTTAAGCATTCTATTGAATCTCACTATGAAGCTCCATAATGAATCCCTTGGCTCATGCTTCATATGTAGGAGAACTTGCGAGCCCTTTCGAGGTTTCTAGACACTATAAAAAATGAATCACAAGCATGTTTGAACCCCGAGAAGGAGGTTATCACTCACACCAACAGCAAGTGAACCACGTCAATACCAACTCCTTTAGGGTTGTGAAGAATAAATGACATTTCAAGGTGTCATCAATGTTTAGGGGGGAGGTTATGCATTCAAATATGGAAACATTGTTCATCGCGTTAGTCTTACCCATATATGATTCCAACTATGGCACTTTGAACTTAATAGGTGGGCTAACCTATACAATCTCCCTTGAAAAAGCAATGGCAAACTCATACTCAACACTTCTAGCTCGCCTGGTCAACGAGTTATATTTTTCATCACTCATTAGCACGCATGAGTGATCAGATACTGGCATCAAAGTGCTTGGTTATTCAATCTTTTGTGGCGGACTACATAGTAAAATTAAACCTCAGGGTTATTGTCTCTCACCCTTGGAGCTTGCTCAAGGCATCTAGGATCGCGTTCATTATCTTCTCCTCTTTCTCCTTTAAGTCGCGACGACAATAAGTTGTGGCAACATCAAGTTATGTTGCGACGAGCAATGTAGTTAATGTTCTTCATGTTCACTAATGGCTCAGGGGCACTCAACTCATTGAGGTATGCCTACATTTTCATAATTAGCATCAATCCATGCTCTCCGCAACACCTAAGATGATGCTGGATCTAAATTTGTCCATGGAAGACACCTACCTTGCAGGCCAACTCCGTGAGCATGCAACCTAGAGATTGTGTGTGAATCAGGAGTAAAGAGAGAGAAAGAAATTTGCTAGAGAAAAGTTGTAATGAATGCTCAAGATGTTTAAAATCTCAATTTATCAAGAAAATATTAACTAAGAAAAATGATCCAAATGATTTAAAAAATTTAAAATACTCATCGTCACCTTTTATTTATAAGGTTCTAATGGCAATAAGAAAGGCTACACCCATAAAAAAGTAAAAACATACAATGTTATATAGATTACCTTAGACACATGTTGCCTTCTAATTGGTTGAGAAAGAGCAAGGCTACAAAGCTCTAATAATGTCTCTGGCAAGCTCAGGGTGCTTAAATGGTTGAATGATGTTTGGGAACCACTAGCAGCCTATGCTAAGCCTAGCAAGTGTACAAAGGTTGCAGAGAACGAACTCAATAGTCAACTGGTCACGATAGGTCGATCTAAGGATTCATTAGGTAAGCACTTTCTTATAAGTGGACTTGGATATATGGTGATGCACTCACCCCTTGTCCTCCTATAAGGGTGAATTACTATGATGGTTGCCTTCCTTCCACAAGAAAAGTGTCAATTTACTTGATTGATATGATCCTCCATTGCTCCTCCCCAAGTTTAACCTTCCTTTATAGGCCAAGCAAGTGGGCCCTAATGTCCTTAGGTGAGTTCCTCTGTTGGGCCTACTAGATGGAAGTCTCATCTATGCATCTCACTGATACCTCCTTGATACCTATGAAAGTATGTGCGAGTATACACATGATATAACAAAATCATTAGTAACTTCATAATTACTAAATAACAAAAACAATTTAGTTTTATGAATCATTTAATACTTTGCCAACACTTTCTTCACAAAATATAAGCACTCAAGTTTGTCAAAATGACAAATTCGATTAACAAATCAGCTATAATGTAAAACTTTCATTCGGCTCTCCATATGCAAAAACACAAATGAAAAAGTACACATTTCCAGCGCTACAAACGTCTTTTTGAAAGACAATAATAATACTTCCATATACTCCAGTATTCTAAAAATATTCCAGCTTGCACGTTTGACACCACATAATCCTAAAATATATAACTGCTTTGTCAAAAGCATTCGCTCATATAATATTTACAATCTATAATACAATCTCGAATGTGCTGCATGCCATGCACCGAATGTACAATGCAGTTAGATCAAACTTGGTTTCAATACAGAACTCTGGCAGTGCTCTGCACCCTCTATCAAGATGTTCCATGTGGACTTCAGCCAATCTTGTCCTTAAAAACTCAAGATTCACCTGAAGAAATAGGTTAGAAACAAATATAGATAAAACAATATTTTTAAATTTATATAATTTAGGCTTCATTTGGGGCAGCTTTCTTGTTGCTTCTTAAAACAATTTTTTAGTAAAAAATTTTAATTTTTATATTAAAAAGTTGTTTTGAGAAGCAGTAAGAAAGCCATCCCAAACGAGGCCTTAATCTAATAATTACATATATTAAAATACTTGAAATGGAAGATGAACCTTATCATCTGCAAGGTCAAGTTGAAGCGTGCAGTTTGTACAATGTATGAGATGATGGGTCTCCTTGAGTTCTCCTCGCTTGCAGATTGGGCACCATATTTTGTTCTTTAAGGCCTGGATAATTTAAAATAAGTCCAATCGTGTGAGTGAGGCACAACTAGTAAGTTCAATATGACTACCAGGAGCATGGAAAAACTCGGGCATGATCATAAAAGGCCTTTTAGTTCACTAACAAAGTACAAGTTTGCCGGGTTATACTGTGCAAAAACTGCACTTAGCACCCTGGGAAAGGAAAAAATGTCATATTTTGTCAACCAAATAAGTTTAACAAGCTTTACTCTGCTTTGTGTGTCCAAGGGTTTATCTAGGACATTGAAAATTTTAATATATGTTTGTCTTTTACAACTACAAAAATGTTTTCAAAATCCAGAATGCAATTAGACTTCGTAAGTTATTGGCAAAAGCGATCTGTTCAGATTTAGGATATGAAGAAACCCTGGTTCCACGAGTGTCATCCCCATGATTTGTTAAAATAAATAACAATGATCCGATCTTCCATCTACTTTTATATAAGCCAATAAGAAAAGCTATGGTTGAGATAAGTGCAAGTTCAGTTCGTTCTCTTATGATCACGACATCTCTATATTTAATAAAAAACACATATCTCCATCTTAAGGTATCAGTGAATAACAAAAATGCTACAACGATAACAACATCAAGCCTTTATCCCATTAAGTGGGGTTGGCTGCATGAATTATTTTTCTCCCTTGTGCCATGTTAAAAATTAAATTCTCATTTAAATCAAATAAAGAAAGGCCATTTTTAATACTTTCTAACCAAGTTTTTTTAAGTCTATCTCTACCTTTCTTAACGTAAGTCATATCTAATACATCTACTTTCCTAATCGGGTCATCGGAAGGCCGCCATTTTATGTGACCAATCATCTAAGGCGACTCTCTCTAATCTTATCTTCCACTGGAGCTACTCCAACCTTTTCATTATATGTTCATTTCGTATCCTATCTCTAAGAGTAAAGCCAGTCATCCACTTGAGCATCCTCATCTCTGTAACACTTAACTTAATATTATGCTTCTCTTTTAATGGCTGACATTCTGCACCATAAAGCATTACAGGTCTAACCACCATCTTACATAATTTTCTCTTAAGTTTGAGGGGGACTTTTCTATCACACAATAAGTCCGATGCATTCCTCAACTTCAAACATCCAACATGAATTCTACTAATAATATCCTCAGTTATTTCACCATCACTTTGAACAATTGACCCAAGATATCTAAAACGTGTACTCAAAATAATGACTTGATCACCCAAAGTCATAATCCACCCACAAGAACTATTATTACTAAAATTACACTCCATACAATCAGTTTTAAATCTACTCAAATGAAAGCCTTTAGACTCTAAGGTTGACCTCCATAATTCAAGTTTACCTTCAAATTCGTCTCTAGTATTATCAAAAGGAAGAATATCATCAACAAAAAACATATACCAACATACAACCTCTTGCAAATGTCTAGTGAGAACATCCATGACTAAAGCAAAAAAATATGGGCTTAAGGCTGATCCTTGATGTAATCCAACTTAAATAGGAAAATACTTAGTCAAGCCACCTTGTGTTTAAACACAAGTAACACCTCTTGCCTGCATATCCTTAATGAATTGAATATAAGCATTATTAACTCCTTTTTTATGTAGAACTCTCCATAACACTTCTTTTGAAACTTATTCATATGCTTTCTCTAAATCAATAAAAATTATATATAGATCCTCCTTATTCTCACCATACTTCTCCATCAAACCTCTCAATAAATATATAACTTCCATAGTAGACCCACCTGGCATGAATCCAAATTGATTTTGAGAAACATTAGTGTCACACCGCAACCTATACTCCATAACTCTCTCTGTAGTTTTAAAGTATGAAACATTAACTTAATTACTCTATAGTTCGCATAATCTTGTGCATCAACTTTATTCTTAAAAATAAGAATCAACACACTTATTCTCCACTCATCTGGCATCTTTTTAGTCTTCAAAATAATATCAAAAAGTTTAGTAAGCTAAAAAATTTCTTGATCTCCTAAGCATTTTCACACCTCTATTAAAATATCATCAAGTCCAACAACTTTTCCAGACTTAATTTTCTTTAAAGCCTTTTCAATTTTATTAATACGTCGATAACAACAAAAGTCTTTATTTTGATTTAGGCTGATAAGGAAACTAAAGTCAATCACATTCTCATAATCTTCATTAAAAAAATTAGCAAAATATCTCATCCACCTTTGTTGAATATTCTCTTTTAATAAAAGCACTTTTTGATCTTCATCCTTAATATACTTCACTTGAACTAAATTTTTATTACTCTTATATCTTTGTTTAGCCATCTTATACATATATCTTTCACCCTCTTTAGTATCTAACTTATTATACAAATCATTAAAAGCTAAAATCTTTACATTGCAAATTACTTTCTTAGACTCCGTACGGGCCTCTTTATATCTTTCACAATTATCATAGTTTTTACAGCTAAACCAATTTTTATAATAATCTTCTTATTTTTTAATCTTTTCTTGCACATTTTAATTCCACTACTAACTATTTTTACAAATAGTAGATTTTCTTTTTGATACTCCAAGCACATCTTTTGTAGTATTCTTAATATCACTAGCTACTTTTTTTTATATAACATTAGGTTCAGGTTCCTCATACCACAAACAAAATCTTAAGATCTAGAATTTTACTGCCAAAAATATATTTTTAATATTCTTTAAATGCCCCATCTAATCCTAGAACAATGATTTCCTTTAATTTTAATTTTTTCCCCTTCATCGCTAATAAGTGATGTTGGGTACATAAACTTTCACTCAGAATAACTTTACAATTTTTGTAATCTAAACTATATATTTTTCTTAAAAGAAAATAATCAATCTAAGTTTTACTATATCCAAAATTTTAATTTTGAACACATATCCAAACCTACTTGAGAGCATGATATTAAAGACTATTGGATACTATGACTAGTCAAAATAATCAGATGAATTGTAATAAATTGGACAATTGCAATATATAATAAAAATACTAAGCATAGCTTTGAAATAGTGTTCTTCAAAACATGATACAATTGATTATAATATGAAGACTGGGTGCAATCATAGGCATCATAATAGGTAGAAGAAAAATATGTTTTTTTATAACTATTGACATAACATAAATAATAGGAAGCATGATCGCAATGTACATAATAGGATCATGATTACTTATCATGGCCGTGGTGAACATCATAGTTACCATAATCATAAATTAATTGATAAGAATAATCACGGATTCAGTTATTGATTCATTAGGAAGCTAATATCTTGGCAATTACTAAAAAGGTGATTGTTTAGGGTTTCAAATAAGTTAGGGTTGGGGATGGATAGACTGTACGGTTTTTAGACAATGAATGGATAGAACTGTTGATGTGAATCAATGTAGGAATTGCATTTGGAAAATAAAATGAGAGTTATTTAAAGCATTGTCAAAACAAATTTTATTACCAATAAAATGAAGGGTTAAATTATTCTAGGTAATTAACTTGCTTAGGCGAAGATTTGCTTTGAGATAACCAAACAATTCATAACACTCCAAAATAAAAGATCTACTTAATTGCTCATAACAAAAATCCCACAATTAATAATGAAGAATTTCACTTTGAGCAACCTCTCACTCGTTCACTCTTGGGCTTTAGCGGAGAAGAAAGAACCACACGAAGATGGAGAGCACCACTACGGAAAAGGAGACGAAAGACTTCGTTACCGAAGAGGTATTCGCCGGGGGAGGTGGTGGTGGATGGCATCCGATGATCGTCCAAGTGTAGTCACGAAACTGTCGGTCGAAGATGCTTACGAGAATCGGGACGACTCGTTCCAAGTACTCTTCAATTGTGGCGTCGTCTTCAAATCCTACGTCAAAGCAAGGAGATCGTAGGATATCAATGCTCCCGTCGGCGTGGAACACTAATCCCCATTCAAGCTCCGGATCCGCCATTCAACATTGAGGGAGGGCGGGAAGGAGAGTGGGAGCCAGGAGCTAGGGGAAGACCAGAGAAAATCTGAATTTTGAATTTCAAGATTTTCTTGGGTTGGAGGGAGAGGTTAATTGCAATAGAGAAACCTCCATAATTTAGAATTCAAGAGGGCGGTTATTAGGGGAGAATTAAGAGGGGAATTAGTGAGTGCTTATGTGGCAAGTAGAGAGAGAATAGGAGAGATGGATGGCTGGTCAAGCAAGGGAGGGAGAGAAGGGGATTGATTAATTAGTGGGGCCCATGGGATTAATTAAAACTTAATTTGAATTCAGGTTTTAATCAACTAAAGGGATTCAAAATTTGAAATTTAAAACTGATGAGATTTCATTTAATCTCTTCCTAATATATAAGGCGTTAATTTAGGAAGGGATTAATGAGGGAATTAACACAAGGAATTTGAATTTTCCTTGGGCTGGGCAGCGGGATTTCCTGGACAGAGGAGGACGCGCTAAGGGGCGGGGCGGGTGTGGTGGTTGACTGGGACCGTCGGCTGGCACAGCCGGCGGCAGCGGGATGGGGGAGGGGCTGAGACGGCGGGATTCTGTGGGGGAAGGCTGAGGGAGGTGGGGAGCGGGCTAGGCTGGGCCGTTGGTTGGCTCAGCCGGCGGCAGGGAGGGGGACGGCCTCCTATGCTGACGGGTTGAGGGGGGGTTTTGGACAGGGAGGGCTGCAGGGAGGTGGGGAGGTGGGCAATATGAGGGGTCGGGTATGGAGATTTGGCGGGGAAGAAGAAAACAGCGAACTAATTCAAGAGAACCAAGAGCTCACCGGCGTGGGCTGTTGGGTAATTCGGGTGGAGCCTCTCCTAGGTCTCCTCTCTTTCTATCAAGCTCCCAAGCAAGAAGACAAAGACAAATTTCAGAAATTTTATTAATCATTCATTAAGCTCATACAATAAGAGTAGACCCCTTTATAAAGGTCTCAAAGCATGAAAAAAAAAAGACTCACATGCCCATTGGGCTACAACAAATACTACGCCTTCATAAGGGCAAAATCGTCACTAGTGCATGAAATAAAAGACACATAAAATAAAATAACATAAAAATGACATGACAGCATCAAAAATATAAACTCTCGATCGTAGCCGTCGATCTACGATTCTTCGCCGATAAACCTGCCTAAAATGTCTGTCGATGACCTCATCAACTGTTAGGTAGATTAGAGTTGAGGTAGTTCTGGGAGAAAATATGGATGCGTATGCTAGAGATAGATATGAGGGCTTGGAAAAACGCTGGGTGGGGCCGCATGGGTCAATAGTGGAGAATGGGATTAAAGGATAGGGATCTTGGTTGCATACCTTCAAGGTGAAAGGTTCTCATACCACTTTGATGGCACGTGCTTCAAGAATCCCTAGGCTACTTTCTGTATTGTCTTTCCTTCTTTGAATTGATTGAATTCCAAGCATTCTGCTTGGTTTAATCCATAGATGGATCAGGGAGTGTAAAGAGAATAGTTTAAAGAAAGAAAATAAAAGAGAGTTTGATTATATCATCTAGGGAAAATATGGGGATAATTGAAAGGAGATAATTGAGGAGGAAAAGGGGGGTTGCTTTTAAACTTAAACCTACAATTATTTGCAAGTATCCATCAAATCCTATCTACAGAAAATTAGGCTATAAAAAATCGTTATTTAAAAACCAAAGGAAAAAAATGATAATACCTAATTCCTAAAGAAAGGAAAGATCTTAATAAATCTCCTTCATGATTAAGTATGAAATAGAAGTACATTACAGGTTTGGATAATTTTTTTCATAGTTTTTGTTTCCATAAATCTGCCCTAACATTATTTGACAATATAATTTGTGATGAGAAGCTACATTTTACAACCAGATATTTTAAAGTGTGTTAGATATAAGAAAGTTTTTATCCGACAAATAGTTTAAAAATACATTTGAGGCAGTCCTCACCATGAGCCACTCAAAAATCACCTCAACACTTACATCTTTATGGTTTGAGCAATGCTTATGTTTTTTTTTTTTTTTTTTTGAGGCAAATACCTCGAGAACCTATACCTTGAAGCATTTGAAGCAATGCCTCAACTTAATACCAAATAGAGTTGAGAGAGAGAGAGAGAGAGGGTGTTGCGGTTTGGCAAGTCACAAGCAAGGAGGATCTACGAGCAGTAGGAAGCATCTCGGGGAGGAGGGAGGGCTATTAGAAAGGAGGGTTGCAAATACATTCAAGTTGTACACTGCAAGCCAAGATATCTATGACTTGTTGAAACTGCAACGTGAAACTTAATCAATATGGTATATTTTAAAAATTGAGTGAGTGCATACCCTAATTTTTTTTTTTTTGAACTTTCGCTTTAAATTAAGATTTAAAATTGATTTTTTTTTTTTCTGTTTCTTATTGTCAATTACCTATTTTTCCTTTTTATTTTTTGATCCCACAACATCAAAAAATATATTTATACTGCCTACAAGAACTTTTAAGAAAAATATATTTTCTCCACAACAGTTTCAGCCACCCAAACAAATGGCTAGATACCAAAGACTGCCAATTCTAGAGCCGGGCCATTATTTAAGCCTATCAAAGTACTAAGGGACTTGTAGTGCATCACAATTCCTTAGTAATATATGGTAAAACTATTTATTATAAAGCACTAAAGTCTAAACTAATCTCTGCATTAAATACGCACCTGTTCATCATTAATTTGCATGTGCTCGAAGACAGCTCGAGCAAGGTAATCATCTTCTTCTTCAATCAACTCCAACTCTGCATAGAATCAGATACATGCACGTGTACATGAGTACATGACAAAGACACAATATAACCATTCAAGAAAGGACACCAATGGCTTGAATACCTTGTTCAAAGAGTATTCTGTCAATGTTTACTAACTTAACTGGTGTTTCATCACTCAATATAAAATATATAATATATAAGCAGGTCTGCTAAAAGAATAAACTGCGTTGGCAAAGAGCAAAATAGACTGATGCAAAACCTGCAAGGCCCGATTAAGTTATGAGCCTGCAAGAATTGACTGCAAATAATACTTGAAAATTTCTCATGTTTATTATGGTACTGGTAAATCTTTTACAATATTCTCAGTAATATTTAAATTTTATCGTAAGAGAATGCCCTTTCATGTCTGCATAAAGATCAAAACATGGAACATTAGTTACAAGATTTCTTTCATCATGTAATAATCATTATTCCTCAACCAGTTGGGGATAAAGCTAATGATGAGGATGCACTTACCGTTAAATTACTTAATATAGTTAAATAGCATAAATTAGTCTAACTGCATCGTATTAATACCAGTTATACTAAGCCTATACATAGTAGAGAACAGGTAATGTGTAGCAATGAACATGCACAAAACTCGTACCTACAGAAAACTTAAATTTGTTCAACACTTGTCATCCGCACATGTAAGTTGTATGCTTTTATGGCATTATAATCTTGTTAAGTGGAATTGAGCTATGGTAAAATTTAAATGAGAGGTCAATGATCAATCTTTTCGCAGTTTGCTTCATAGGTGCAACATTAACGTAAATATTAAAATCATAATCTATTCACAGTGATTCTGCTACATACAAAATAATAATTTTATCTTAAATGTTAATGCTTGGCTACTCTTATAAAAGACAGTTAAAGTAAAGTTCCCCTCAATGTATCATTGGCATGGTTCTTCATGGTATACTAATGTAAGAAAAAATAAATATATTCTAATAAGGATGAGAACTAGCAAATAACATCTTCAAGGCCTTGTTTAAAAGAAAAAACCCAGAGAAGAACTTTATACGTCAATGAAAATTTTGGATTTGCTTCTCATGATCTATGGTAATGGAGATATTACAAGCGAATAAGGAGTCATGGAAGAATATAATGAAATCTCTAAATGTTCGGACATGGTGGAAAATGGAAAGAAAGAAGTGCTGAATCCTCAGGCATAAGAGAAAATGATGAATCCTCAAATTAGATTGTGTTGATTCCTCAAAGCATAGAAGAAAAAGTGGGAAGCCCAAATGTGGGTTGCAGGAAATTTTCATTCAATTCATCATAACTAAATCTTTACAAAGCATAAGGGGTTATCTATAAAAAAAATTGGAAAATTGAAAGTCCAAACTACATGTAAAGGTTTGTTACAAAATAAATCTCATGCAAAAAGAAAGGACAAATAAAAATAGAAAATTCCTAATTAATGCATGGATATATTATCCATCTTGATTGTCAACAATCCGTTGGAGGATGACAAATGACATCAAAGGGTGATATCAGCCAATACATATGGAGCCTAGAAAACTTTGGTGAAGAACATAATACTAACAGAGCAATAAGGATACTTAGCGAACAAAACAAGTATAAGATAACAGAGACATATATTTTAGGCATAAAAAGTTTCTATAAACAAAAATGCCCCAATTATATTTTCACAACTATTTGAACATAAAAAACGTAGGGAAAAAAAATCAGATGCAATGGTCTAGAATATCAAAAAAATGTCAAATAGATGAAACATATATTTTGAAAATATACCTCTACGGATCTTTTCCTCTCTAAGGTCCCTGTAAAGTATCCTCTCCATTTCCATCATAAGATCTTCGCTTTCAATTTCTGAACAAAGTTGATCATACTCCCATAATATGTCATCATTTTCAGAATTTGAGATACAATTACCATCCCCCAAAGGTGACACTTTGATTTTCTCAAGCTCATCAGTAACTATGTGCCAGAATGTTGATTCAATAACCTCCTAGGAAATTTTTTAGAAAAAAAAAAGTGTTATAAGCAACTAAGCATTGAGAAATTGAAATAGAAAAATGATGATGATGATGATGCATTAACCAACAACAAACCTTGAAAATATGAAAAATAGACATTCTATTGATATAAGTTTTGTAGCCTCAACAATCTAATCAACAGAACAGCCGCTATGATTTGTGAGCACATTAAATGCATCTTCTCAAACAGTTTTCAATACGCTTTAAACTAGATAATGTTGCATATAAAAGTTCGTGAAGGTTGTTAAACCTTATGGAACAAACCCGAGTCTCACCAAGAGGAGGGGTGAATTGGTTCTTTAAAAATTTTCTTGACTTCAAAGTAACAATAACAATATTTTTGAAAAGCTTTTCAGTAATTAAAAGTACCAAAATCTAAACGATTGCGGGATCGTCCCGTACTATTCAATTTGTATAGTACGGTTAGTTCAATTTAGATAGGTCGTACAATACAATATAAATATCATACAGTACGATTAGTATAGAAATTATGGTTTCGTTTGGAACGATCTCTAGGATGGCTAGATTTCGTCTCTGTTAATCGTCTGGTACAATTAATATCGTACAATATAATTGGATATTATTTATTAAACCATGATTTGATTGACTAATTATAGGTGTTAATTTTAGTAGGATTTCAAATATTTGTACAGTTCGATTAATATCATACACTATGATCAATTCAAAAATCGTATTTTAAAATCTTACTTAAATTAATCTAGCGGCTAGGATTTTCAGATCGGAACGAATCATACAGTACGTTTAATTCACAGAAACTAATTTTACCAATTAGTCACTAAACCTATTTCCAGATAACGTATCATATAGTATGATTGAAAATGGTGTAGTACAATTAGTTTAAAAAAAATTTTAACTTAAAAAATTTCTCTCCCCCTGTTGGTGTGCATGGTCACCCAAATTGCATACTCTTCTTATGTGACTAGACTCAAAAAGTAAAACTTAAAGAAAATAAAATTAGAGACTCTTTTACATCATATTATACCCAATCTTGAGTCTTTAGCAGTTTTGAGCTTTATATATTAACCTGAAATGTTAGTGTTCACAGACAAAAAAAAATATCTAAAATATTTAGTGAGAAAAGCAACAATTCAATCAATAAAGTTTGTCATCATCAAAATCACAAACTAGGGAACCTGGATTACAATAGCATATCCACTAATATTATATGCAGCAAGTCACAAAATTTGTCTTTGGAATATTACCAATTACACATCTGTCAACCTCATGGCCATCATCAATATCATAAATGCAAAGACTTTTGCTTCCTCATATGGTTTCTATAAGGACCCATCAACCAAAATTGTCAAATAGCTTCCAAATAAAATTGTCATAATCATCCATCACGTACAAAACTTGCGGTGTCCTACAAACTGTCTTAACCATTTTAATTGAAAAATAGCACAAAGGGAAACAGATAGATTTCTTTGAGGTCATCATTAAAGAATTTCCAGTATTACATCTATTTGGAATCTTCAAATCTCACTAAATTATTTTTATGCATCTGGAGCTGTGAATCTCTTTTTGCTATTAATGAATAACCTACGGAGTCTAGCGTATGCCTAACCTTCCTATAAACTAAGATTATTGTAATCCAGGATACATTTGCTTGTACGAACCATGGAATTTAATCTATCAGCTTTTTGAGGACTATGCAGAAATCCTCCACTCAAAAGATCCTTCCAATGTTTTTTGCATGCTTTCAGGCAAAGCTAGCCTGCTGAAACTGTCATATTAGTTACAGTTAAAGAAGAAATTAATTATGCCTCTTATTTGTAAGTTCTGACAAAAGATGGACCATGGCCTAGGGCTACAATCAAAATAAAGAACCATTAGAGAGAAAAAAACTTCCAGAACCAACTTATCTAAAGTGCACAACATGATCCATCACTCCTTTCTTACTGGTTTCTATTCTTTTGTAGTTGGGATGCGAGGAAGGGGAAATTGAGCGAGGATTAGTTTTGGAATTCCTAACCTTACCAAAATAGCACTTTCTTTGTTAGTTTGATTGAAGATTTTGTGCTCAAGATGCAGTTTGTAATAACTCATATATCAAAGAATGGAAGAAAATGATGAAAAACAAATGATTGGTTTAAAGGCCATTCAAAATATGCATAAGAATTATTTTTTTGCAAAAAATCAAATAAGAATGCATTCACATCGAAAATAACTAAATATCTCAAACTCAAGTTAAAATATCATAGAGGACACTGTAATTTGCCCACGAAGGAGCTAGCAATACCCAAATTCCTCTCAGTCAAAGACACGTTTCTCGGAAAAATACTATCATCTTGAAAGTAGATGATAGCCAAAATTCTCCTTAAATATATTCACAATCCCGGATGTCCCTACTCTTGAAAAGTTTATATTTTCAGATAATAAATAGAGTTAAATCTAAAATTTGTAGACAAAATGACATTCAATCATCAAATAACCAAATTTGAGAGTAAATTGTAGTGAATTATGACTGCACTTCACATTAATCTTCTCAATGGAGATACCATGATCTGGTAGAAGAAGAAGTAAAATCTATCTATCTATCTAGATAGATAGATAGATAGAATGTTTATATATATATATATATATAAAGAACTTGGAATTTGTTGTAAAGGCCCTGGCTTCAATTCTTCAAACACCTAGGCACTCAAACCTTCCCAAAAAAAAAGGAAAAATCAAAAGAAAAAGTCTCATTCAGGCAATTGTGCTTATCAGACTATACAAACTATATATGAACGAGAAATTTGTAATTGCTACATCGACTGAAGATAAATTTCTTATTTAAATAAAAAGGTGACGATACCAATCACATAAGGAACCTTTTGGTTTGATGCTTGCCGCCCCTTTGATCTAATTTTCCGAAGTAACAGGGCCCTCTCCTCACGGACCCTTTTCAAGCAATTTTGCCTAAGCTGCCCAAATTTTTTGGATAATATATATGAAATATCGGAAACATTGACAACACTGAAATCAAGCACACCGGCGACTATAAACCAAGGAAAGAAACAATCCTCACCTTCTCCTTCCAATTAGGGCGAAGGGTTTTGAGATTTTCCCTTTTTGGTCTACCGACATCCATCATCATTAAACAAGTACAGAGTACCCGCTAGGGTTTGTTCTTTTAATTTCGGATTCTCCAAGCATATATGAAAATTATATAAGCCATCACGATAAATCCGAAAGGGGCACATTTATCTCTGAAATGATTAAAATCAATGTTGTGAAAATCGGACCGGACAACGAATCGGAAGAGCGAGAGGTTCACGGTTTGACCGGTTCGACCGGTTGAATCGGGGTCAAACCGGATGACGTAATAAATAAAAATATTATTAAAATTATTAAAATAAAAATCATATAATATAAGTATATGAATATTTAATAATATTTATAAAATTTTAAAATATATAATAAAATTTTATACATATAAATATCATTTAAGAATAATATATTTATAAGAATAATACTTAATATAATATATAAATTTATAATATAAAAAATTTATGAT